TGGCCAGAGGCTAAGGGCAAGGAGCCAGAGCGAGTCCCTCCCAGGGGCGGGTGACACACAGAGGCTCCCCGGGGTCTCTTGCAGGCAGTTGCTTGAGGGCATGGAGGGCTATAGACATGGTTGTCGTGCAGAACACAGCCCCGGTGCACGCTGCACAGACTCAAGGGGAAGAGCCAAGCCAGGGCCCCATTTCTTTCTGGGTCTGATGGGGATGCCCTGGTCAGGAAATGCTCAAGTCTCCTCTTGAGCTTCACACACACGCTTCCAGGCAACTTAGCTGGGTGCATGCAGCAGCTCCCCAAGGTTCATCAGGCAAAGCCCAGCTGAGACTTGCTTGCACAATTTTACCTTCTTCTCACAGCAAAGTCCCCTGCCCTGCCATGGTTGGCATATAGTCTGTCTTCACCAAAATCCATCTTCAAGTGTCATCCCCAGTCTCCCAGTGATGAGGGGTGATAGGACTTCCCAAATTGGTTAGGTTCTGGGGGCATTGCCCGCAGGAATGGCCTCATGGATGAAGCGGGTTGGTTGTGTTGAGCTTGTGCTTGTTCTCCCAGCAATGGGCCCTTCTCCTGAGAGTGGATTGTTGAGGAGAGCCTGGCACTGCTCCCCCGTCTTTCACATGTGTGTTTTTTAACCTGTGTCCCGTTCCCTGTCCATTTTCCATCATGAGCCATCACCAGAAGCCAAGGAGATGCTAGCACAGTCTTGGGGGCTTCCAGAAGCATCAGGCAAAAGTCAGCTTTTTCTTTGTGAATTACCTCATTTCTGGTGCTCTCTTTATAGCAACAGAGAATGGAGTAAGCTAGCCCCTACAGGGCACCGAGCCTTCAGGCTACACTCCTCTGGCTGTTTTCAGCAAATCAAATCTCGGGGAGCAGAACTCTGAGGGCAGATTGGCTCAAGAGGCAAACATGGCACATCATGCTGCCTGCTAGGGAGAACAGGTATGCCAGCTGCCAGGCTCTTTGGCTTGGGACTGGCTGGCCCTGCCCAACAAAGGGGTAGAGGGAGATCTAAAACCCTTCAGCAGGTGGCAAAGCTTACCTTCTTGCCATCCTCGCTCTGTAACATTCAGGACTTTTCCCTCCTGCTAGCAGAATGGTGAAAAAAATCAAATCAAGCTAATCTGTCCTTTGAAGTGTGGTGTTTTCATCTCAGCCTGAGGCAGCAAGTCAACACGCAGGCAGATGGATGTGCGTACGCTGCGGCCTATGTGCCCTGCATACTTATGGCCATGGAAAGCATTTGACTTTCCCAGACTTGAGCAAGTGTGGGCTCAGTAATTTTCTTATTGACATTTTCAGGTTGCCTTGTTCAGTATGAGTCCCTGCAGTCTGAACATTGAGAGATGTGAAGTCTGGGTCCCCTCTTGCTGCCAGCCTTTGCCACAGCCCTTCTGGGGCCCGTTTTCTCAGCTGTGAAGGGGAAGCCTATGACCCGCACCACCTATGGCTCTAGCATCCAGTGATCTGTCTGTCTGCTGTGGTTACCTGACAGTGGAGCAGGACGACATCACCTGACTCGAGAGTGTTTTGCTTTCACTGTGTAGGTCAGGAATAAAGAGAATGAACAGGGCCCGGCGCGGTGGCGCAGTGGCGCAGTGGTTAAGGTCCTCGCCTTGCACGCCCGGGATCCCATATGGGCGCCGGTTCTAATCCCGGCGGCCCTGCTTCCCTTCCAGCTCCCTGCCTGTGGCCCGGGAAAGCAGTCGAGGACGGCCCAAAGCTTTGGGACCCTGCACCCGTGGGAGACCCGGAAGAGGCTCCTGGCTTTGGATTGGCATAGCATCGGCCGTTGCGCTCACTTGGGGAGTGAATCATCGGACGGAAGATCTTCCTCTCTGTCTCTCCTCTCTGTATATCCGCCTTTCCAATAAAAATAAAATAAATCTTTAAAAAAGAAAAGAGAATGAACAAAGAAATGCAGAACTTAAAGCATTTGCCTGAGTAGAGAGGAAGCGTCTTCCTGTGCACCTATAGGAGCTGGTTAATATCCTATTTGCTGGTCAGCTTGACAGGAGACCTTGACCTGCTGCCTGTCCTGGCACACGTTCAGTTCCGTCTCCGCTCTGCAGCCGTAGTTAGGCGTTTCGAAGAAAATCAATGGAATGATCTGGTGTGTTTATGTGAGAACAATGAACTCCCGTGATGAAATGTTTACCATTGCATTTTGTCAGAGTTTGCCCAGCCTGCCTTTACAGCAAAACCGTGCAAAGCAAGGACCTGTGGGAGGTGCTTTGGTGATCATTTAGGGGGCAGTCCAGATGGCCTGGAATTCTGGCCTTCGTTTGTGCTTTGAACTATCTTATTTGGAAATGTGGCATCTCTTCTCTTCCGGGGAGAGGAGGGTCAATTTGATGGAATCAGAGAAAGTGAAGTCCATCAAGGCAGGGGGAGGGAAAAATAGCCTGCAAACCCACTCAGCTAGCAAGCAAAGGCGCCGCCTGGCTGGTGCCAGTCACGCGTGGTGGATGTAAGACCAACAGCTCCCAAATGGCACTGCTTCCTTTCAAAGGGAGGCTTCAGCACAGACACACCTCTGCCTCCTGCGCAGCTGCCTGCACACACACCTTGCATACACTGCCTATTAACTCAGCATCTCCCCTCCCCCGCCTTCCCCACCCACCCGCCGCGTCACAGGCCAGATGGGACACAGTACTAAGGGAGATTTTCTTTGCCAAGCGATCTTGGAAAACATGACTTTGACTTGTGTTCAAATTTGGTTTGAGGCCAGGTTGCGGAGGTAATGGCCTCATGCGAAATTGGTTATAGAAAGTTTGGAAGCGGGAAGGGAGCAAGGCCGCTGTCCATGGGTAAGGTATTGTTGCGGCTTGGCTGGGAAGGATTAGCCACGGGGTGTTGGCAATTTCGTGACTAAGAAGTTGCTGTGATCCCGAGCTAAAGCAAGGTTAATTGGCAGAGTTTCACTGATAACTTCATTAGATAAACATGCATCTGTCCCCGCCTGATTTGCACAGAAACAGAGAGGACAAAAAGGGCAGGCCCTGGAAGGGGCCGGCAGGAAGGGAAGCAGCCCTAGAGGCACCTGCTGGAGGGCCCGTGTGGCCAGGGAGCTGGCCCTCAGGGCTGCCTGCTTGCTTTCCTATAGGGAAGTTTGTATTCACATCAACAGTGTAGGAAAACATTACAAAGGAGATGCGTGCATTGGCACCCTTAATCCTGCTAGTCAGAAATCACTACTTTAAATATCTTTGGTTCAGTCTTTTTCTATAAGTGTTGTAGCAAAGTTGAGCTCATCCTGTAGTTGTAATTTGAGCTCCATTTTTGTTTTTTTCCCCAGCATTGGCATAATTCAGTTCTCTGCTTTCGTAAGCTCCATGCATGTGGTTGAAGTTAGTGGCTGCGGGTTGGTTTGTCTTCTGGCTGTTCTTGGCAGCTTGGACTCTTTGTGGGCTTGAGGGCATGTATTGCATCAGACAGCCGTGAGCTTGACTCCTGGCCCACCCTCTTGCCTGTGTAACAGCCCTGTGGCCTTGGGAAATGACTGCATCCTTGGAAGTCTCAATGATTTCACCTGTCAAATGGGCTTTAGAGTGTCACAGCCTCATAGATGTGCCATAAGGGTTAGATCAATCATTGCTTACTGCCTCCTGATTGTTAAGTACCTTTCCCAGAGAGATAACGCTAAATACCACTTAGAAAAGTCCAGCTAGGTGAGGTGGCCTGCCCAGTGTCCATGGTTCACAATCGAAAGAGCCAGCATTTGTCAGAGTCCGGAAGCTCGCCGCTCATCTATCATGCTTTGCTGCGTACTCAAAGTAATTTGACTGAGTCCCCCAGCGCATACAAACTGGAGCAGAAATACTACCTCCCCCAAAGCCTGCTGCTAGGATGCCCCCTGAGGGGGTTCCTCACAGTCTCACAGTCTCTGCATTTTACTTAAACCGTTTCTTCCCAGGCCCCCCCCACCCCCCCACCCCCCCCCCCACCCCCCCACCCCCTTCCCCCGTTCCCATCAGGTGTGGTGGGCCAGTCCATGCCGGGCAAGTGCGTTTGCGGGTCCTTGATGTAGCAGCGGGTCTTCAGAGAGCAGAAGAGACCCTGTGGGACTTTTGACAGTCACGTGCCTTATGATGTGCAACGTGGACCACATGCTGCAGCCCTCCCGATCCACACATTGGCTTTAATGATCTGGACATCGAGAGAATTCTCTCTTCTGCTCCCCATCCTCCCCACCCCACCATGTCCTTAGCATCGCTGTCCACGCATGCAGTCCTGGCTGCGTTCCACAGGCACTGAATTGCAAGTCCGACCTGAGCTCTCCCTCCTACAGTCAACCCAGGCGACATCCCTGGATCCAGTTCAGGGATGAATGCCATTGATTGCATTGCTGCCTCTGTCATCCACGGAGTGACTGTGACAGAGAAAAACAAAGTAGCTGATATGCGAACACATCCCTCCCTTCCAGTTGATCACGTATGACAGGGTACAACTGGTTCATGGTGCTGAGGGGCGGGGCGGGGAGGATGGCCTTGCCAGTGGCCTAGTGGCCTGAGTGTTAGAAAGAGCCTGAAGGCTTGGCCGCTGACCTGGCTGCAGTGGGTCCTCTGCCTGCATTCTGTCGGAGGTCCCACCTCCAGAGCAGATCCGATTTTGGATCTTCTCTTCGAATCCCTTGGTTATTCAGCAGATTGAATCTGAATTGCAAATGTGGCTCCAGTGTGGGTGGACCATTGTACTGCCTAGTTTCAGGCCATTTTTTGCTGAGCGTGCTTTTACAGAAGGCTGTTACGGATTTAGAAAGGGGGACTGGCGTTGCATTTGTCAGTTGGAGTTTTGTTTGGCTGACTGAATTTTATTTTAGGTTTGTCTGAAGGTGCCAAAGCCTGATGTCCCTGGAGAGAGAGTTGCTCAACTGAAGGGGGCGGGGGAGGGGAAGGTTCTCTAAATTGTCCAAAATGCACATAGAATCAGTGGTTCTTGCGTGAGGCCGGGCTAGCCAACAGTCTCATGTGGCATATTTGATTACTTTTTCAGAGACCCAAGAAGCCGCCTCCTCCATCCGCTCCTGTCATCAAACCAGGGGCAGGTAAGGGACTCCGTCTCACCAGGTCACACACAGGTGCCGCCTTTCACCTGTGCTCACATGCTGCTAGGCGGAGCTCAGCATCCCTTGATTCAAATGCCGCTCACTGCCACGTGCAGAAATCACAGCCTGTGCTTCGGATGGAAGTTTTAAATATCCAGCTGTCTTTCCTAAAAGAAACCTACCATTCAGTTCTGTTCTCGGTCTAGCACATAAAAACAGGCCTCCCACAGAGAAAGGTCAGAAAGAACTTTCCTGTTAGCCAGTCTGGGTTCTGTTTTCATCAGGTGCCTTGAGGCTAGGAGACTCAGATTGTCCTGCTATGGCAGTGCCTGAGCTGCAGTCGGCCTGGCCAGGACGCCTTCCCATGGGCCATTACGGCATGAGACATATACAGCGTCGCTGGCTTTGCCATGTCGCTCTTGTATGATTAACCGGAATTTGCGCTGCCTTGCCTAGGCCCTAACAAAAGGCTGTTTGCGAGTGCTGGGCGCGCCTCTTGGGGATGCCTGTTAAGCCCAGCAGAGCTCAGGTTCCTATCATTCAGATACTAAACTTGAGTCATATAGGGGAAATGGGAGTTGTTGGACATGGGATAACTCACTGCGTGCTGGCCTCTCATGTAGAAAGATGACAATTCACATTTCCAACAGTACTCCTGGTTTGAATTGTTAATTTCATGGGGGAAGTTCCTCCCTGGATAGCTGGCTAAGTGGCACTAAAAACACATAACACACACCAAAATAAAACAAAACAAAACAAAAAACTGAAACAGAAGGAGAGTAAATATAAATATGTTTTTAGTTCTATGTATTAAATTTCCAGAATAGTTTATTCATAGATTTATTGACGTTTCTGGGCCCAGCATTGTAGCATAGCCAGTAATGCTGCTGCCTGCGATGCTAGCATCCTATGTGGGCACCTGCTCCTCTTTTGGCTGCTTTATTGCTGACCTAGCTTCCTGTTAATGACCTGGAAAAAGCAGCAGAATATTCCCATGTGCCTGGGCGGCTGCCATCCATGTGGAAGACCCGGATGAAGCTCCTGGCTTCATTCTGGCCCAGCACTGGCTGTTACAGCCATCTGAGAAGTAACAGGCAGATGATGGATGCTATTCCTTTCTCTCTCTCTCTCTCTCTCTATATATATATATATTCCTTTCTCTCCCTCTCTCCCTCCCTCCCTCACTCCAACTCTGGCTTTCAAAATGAATGGATAAAATTTTCATAAAAAACAAATTGTAAGTTCCTTTGGTCTACCAAGTTGGGAGGTGGGGGTGGATTGGACCCTAAATTCCTTTCCCCACATCCTTTGGCATATTTGAGAATTACAAAGATTGAGCCCTGAAATGAGATGTTAATTACATCTCCTGTTTCACCCCCAGCCTTCTTTGTGTTGAACAGTTTCATTTTGCCACCTAGTGGTTCTGCTCCTATAAATATTTTATAGTCCTGGAACTGAAGCAAGCTGTTTATTTGCTTTTCACTGTGGATTGCCCCAGAGGCCCTGCTAACCAATTCCGGACCATGAAGTTGAGTCCAGTGGTGCAAGGCTCAGGCAGTCCAGACTCTGCAGTAGCTTGCCATGCTTGCTGTGTATCTAGAAATGATGCTTAACTTCCTCATTGTTATTGGGAAACCACATTGTAACATGCTAGACACATTCTTTATCCTTTTCAAACAATTTTACTGACATTGTCTGTCCCCATGGGGCAAAATTAGGTGACACTTCATCTTTGCAGATGACTGCTACAACTCATTTTGTTCTACAGAATGATTTTGGCAATGAATTTGTGATGGGGAGGTAAGCATGCATATTTTCCTCATCATCAGCTTTCCTTGAACTTGATTATTTGACCAAAAAATCATATATAGACTTGACAGAAGTTAGACATGGCATTTAGTATGTGTCGAGTTTTTAAGACCTAGGTGGATTATGTGTTCAGTGGTTTTTTTTTTCTTTTCTTTTTTTTTTAAAGATTTATTTTTATTATTTTTTTATTGGAAAGGCAGATATACAGAGAGGAGAGACAGAGAGGAAGATCTTCCATCCAATGATTCACTCCCCAAGTGAGCGCAACGGCCGATGCTATGCCGATCTGAAGCCAGGAGCCTCTTTCGGGTCTCCCACGCGGGTGCAGGGTCCCAAAGCCTTGGGCCGTCCTCGACTGCTCTCCCAGGCCACAAGCAGGGAGCTGGAAGGGAAGCGGGGCCACTGGGATAGAACTGGCGCTCATATGGGATCCCGGGCGTGCAAGGCGAGGACCTTAACCACTGCGCCACCGCACCACCGCGCCACCGCACCGGGCCCTCAGTGGGTTTTTTAAAAAATTATTTTAGGAGCTAGTACTGTGGCTCAACAGCCTATTCACCCGTCTGTGACCAGCAGCATCCCATGGGGCACTGGTTTGTGTCCCGACTGCTCCACTTCCCATCCAGCTCCCTACTTAGGGCCTAGGAAGGCAGTGGAGGATGGCTCAAGTTCTTGGGTTCCTGCACCCCTGTGGGAGACCCAGAAGAAATTCTTAACTTCTGGCTTCTGATCAGCTCAGCTCCAGCCATTGTGGCCATTTGATGGGGCAAACCAGCACATGGAAGATCTCTCTCTCTCTCTCTCTTTTTCTTCCCTCTGTAAATCTGCCTTTCAAATAAAAATAAATGAGTCTTTAAGAAGTTCCTGTTGGCTATGAGCCTGTGTAATTGAGATTTTCAGACCAGGTGCACTCGCCTTTGGAATTGGCCATGTAGAATTTGTGAAGCGCGCAGCCAAATTGACCCGCAGCAGGAGCACTTCGGGTTGGCTTGTCCTTTGATGTTTTCCAACTGCTCTTACATGCCTGAGGCCACTGGCAGTAGGGGGATGCCAGGTAAGGAAGCAGCTGCAGGCCACATGTGGAAAGAAGAAATGCCTAGCGGAAGCCTTGGAAAGATGTAAAATTTGAGGGGTTCGCTTGTAGACAGAAGGGATCTCAGAGGACCCAACATAGCTTCTCTGTGCATTCTACAACTAGCAGTCATTTTCCAGTTATATTGTGACATTGTCAACCACCCTAGATTTAGTGGTATAACACAACCACGGGCTCATGGGCTCTCTGCTTCAAGGATATAACCCGGGCAGGGCCAGGATGGCTTATCTTGGTTCCATCATGTCTGGGATTTGGTTGGGAACACTGGATAGGCTGGTAGCTCCATCTTGAAGAGAGCTGTTTCCTCCATGTGTCTGCTTTCCTTCGGCAAGAGTGGCTGGAGGACTGGGCCCCTGGACCTGTATGTGCCACAATCTACAAATGGCCTGTCCAAGCTGGGTGACTGCTTATGTGGACCTTCAGTGTCCAAGCAAATAAAGCACAACCATCATGGCCTTTTATGACTTGGCCTCAGAAATGACATGGCAGCACATTGGCCAGGTCAAAGTGGTCAAAAGACCTGCCTACCTTCTGGCCAGGGGATCTCAACCTCACCCCTATACAGGAGAACATGAACCCGTTCCAGATCATGTGTTAAAACTGCTAGCAAATGGAATCCACGTCACTGCGAGTCCTTTTTGTGGAGCACAGTATTTAGTGCCCCCTTATTTCTGCATTTTGAGGGTTGACTTATTTGTTTATGTGTTCCCTCATTCCCACCAAGTGATTTATTTTAATCTTAAAGGAGCTCAAGTTTGAATGTCAGAAGGTACCAGTAATTTTCTTATCCATTAAGAATTAGAGAAAGGAAAACTTAGTGATGTTGGTCAGAAAGACCTTTCTGTTCAGTCTCTAAGCAATTCGAACTTGCTAGGCAACTCGGGGAAAACAAATTATTGACTTTGCTATTCCTGGGAAATACTTAAGTGCTGGCATGTGCATGCTACAATGAACAAATGGAGAAAACATTTTCTGCTACTGTTATCCTTTGCCTTCTAGGTACCACTGAGAGAAAACATGAAATTAAAAAGATTCCTCCTGAAAGACCAGAAACACTTCCAAACAGAACAGAAGACAAAGGTATGAACTCAATTCCTCATTGGCACTTTCAGAGCAGCGAGAGCCAGAGCAAGTCTGTCACAGGCCTGCTCCTGACTACCCAGACAATTTGCCTTTTTTTTTGAAATATGGTGATTATGGTTTAGTTTTAATTGCTTTTAAATGTCTCATTTCTAAGGGAATTAGGGAGTGTTCTGTGCCACTTTGTAGGGCTAGAATTGCTCATCAAGTGAAAATAACCAGCTCCCTTGGCACATTGAAGCTTTGCACCCTGCTTAGACCTGGAAGTCAGGATGCCATCCCTGTTTTCCAGAGGGCCACGTGCCCACACCTAGGCTGCCCCCGCCCCACTTTTGGTGGAGGAAAAAAAGCTGTCTCTTTAGGTTGTTGCTCACCCTGTGACCCTGGGTGACGTCAGGAGTGCACATCCTTGCTCAACAGTGCTTGGGAGGGGAGCACAGCGGGGCAAAATTAGGAGAAACAGCTTGATGCTCAGAGTCCCCCGCAGGTGATCAGCATTACAGGGAGGCAGGTGCCGTGCGGTGAGGTTTGCAGGTGTGTTTCAGTCCTAGCTGTCCAGTGTCTCTGCAGAAGCAATCCGCAGGCTGTGGGAGGATTTGTGCCTGAGGTTTGGCTGATCCCACATTTCTCTGGGAAACGTGCTCTGTTGCGATTATGAACAGGAGATGGGGAAATTCCATTTTTAAAAGCAGCTATTTTGAAGTCACAAGAGAAATGCTGAATTAATGAGTGTAATTATTTGGAGGTGCTCCTTGATGGCCTCATGAAATTCTATTGTGAAATTTAATATTTCTTCCCAGCCTGCCAGATGTTTTGCCAACACTGCGAGCTCTTAGGAAGCTGTACCTCTTTGATTCACAGCCAACAGCTGGCACTCAAGTGGCAGGAGCTCACTGGGAAGGCCAGGTCTATACCACAGATCAGTGAACCGAGTAGCCTTTTGGCCGCCGTCTGAACAGCAGCTTGAGGCAGTGTGCTGTGAAATCATGGCGCCTCACCGCCTGTCCTTGTGAAGGGAACAGAGCTGATTCCTGGGCAATAGCGAGCTCTGTGATGCTGTCATTTCCTGCACCTGTGCGCACGGACTTAGCATGAGCTTGGCTTGTGTGGCAAAGTGGTCATGAACCTTTAATTCCTGCCTCTCCAGGCTGTAGGCAGTAGAGAAGCTGGCAAAACAGTCTTGCCTTGACATTTTGCCCCTGTTAGCACATCCACATGTGTGCATGCGCATGCACATTCTCTCTCTCTCTCTCTCTCTCTCTCTCTCTCTCTCTCTCACACACACACACACACACACACACACACACACACACAGATTCTTTCTGCGGGCTGGAGGGTGAGTGTCCATCTCTGTCCTGCTGCCAGCAGAAGTCTCCTCTGTGAAAGAGGGCTGTGTGCAATAATGTCTGCCCAATACCTGGTGGAGCTTCACAAAAGTAATTCTTTCAAAGAGATCTTTTCTATCCACTGGTTCAATCCCTGAATGCCTGCAACCGCCAGCACTGGATCGGGCTATTATCAGGAACACAGCTCTCAGTCCAGGTCTCCTCTGTGAGTGGACCAGCTAGTAAGGCTGTCTAGCACCTGTTGCTGCACAGGTGCGCATCAGCAGGAAGCTGGAACTGGAAGCAGAGCAAGAACTCAAACCCTGACCCTCCAGTGGGAGTGGAGTATCCCAAGTTGTATCTTAATGGCTTTGTCAAATTCTTGCCCCTCCATAGGCCTTTAAGAGCTTGTGTCATTCAGCCTGAGCATATAAACAAAATGTGTTTGTGTTTGCCAGTAAAAGGTACTCTAATAGTCATCTTAGAGGACCTGCTTGTGCTCTAGTGGGCAGCACTCTAAAGCTCTGCATGTATCAAGAACACGGATGGATGCGTTCTATGGCATGCAAGGGGCAAGGTCATTTGGGAACATAACTTGAAGGGGTCATGACACACTGCACAGTTTAAACTAATTTCATTTATCAAGTGATATACATAGAGAAGAGCAGAAAGAGTGAAAATTCCTCTCCCTATTGTTTTTTAATATTTATTTTATTTTTATTGGAAAGTCAGATACACAGTGAGGAGGAGAGACAGAGAGGAAGATCTTCCATCTGTTCATTCACTCCCCAAGTGAGCGCAACGGCTGGAGCTACATGATCTGAAGCCAGGAGCCTCTTTCAGGTCTCCCACACGGGTGCAGGGTCCCAAGGCTTTGGGCTGTCTTTGATTGCTTTCTCAGGCCACAGGCAGGGAGCTGGATGGGAAGTGGGGCTGCCGGGATTAGAACCAGCGTCCATATGGGATCCCAGAGCATGCAAGGCGAGGACTTCAGCCACTAGGCTACTGCGCTGGGCCCTACACTGCACCGTTTAGCCAACAAATCTGGCTTCAATTGCATTCTGAAAGATTTTACCAAAAAAAAAAAGCCTTGGAAATCTAATGAGGGGCTTCAAAGTCATTACGGAAAGTAGAATTAAAATATGGGCCTGACACAATGGCTCAATTAGCTAATCCTCACCTTGCAAGCGCTGGGATCCCATATTTGTACTGGTTCATGTCCCAGCTGCTCCACTTCCCATCCAGCTCCCTGCCTGTGGCCTGGGAAAGCAGTCAGAGATGGCCCAAAGCCTTGGGACCCTGCATTCACGTGGGAGACCTGGAAGAGCTCCTGGCTTCAGATTGGCTCAGCTCCGGCTGTTGTAGCTACTTGGGGAGTGAGATAGCAGATGGAAGATCTTCCTATCTCTTCATTCTGTAAATCTGATCTGCCTTTCCAATAAAAATACATAAATCTTGTTTTTTTTTTTTAATTAAAAGGTAATGGAAATTGGCCATGAAGCTTTTGAAACCATTTTTATGCTTAGCAGCCTGTGTCCTGAGAGTTCCTCATGTGCAGGCTCAGCCAACTACACATTGAAATACTTGGGGAAAAAACTGCACCTGTCCTGAACATGTTCAGACGTGCGCTTGTCATTGTTATCTCAACAATCGAGTGTAACACCTGTTGGAATAGTGTTTAAGTCATCTAGCAATATGGGAGGATATGGAACTGCTATGGTAATTTTTATAAGGGACTTGGCTCTTCATGGATTTTGCTGTCCTCAGGGGACCCTCAGCCAGTCCCCTGCAGATACCAAGGGATGACTTTGCCTATGAATTCCAAGGTCACCTTTCTCATTCAGACTGTGCACAAGAATGCGAGACTAAGCATTCCTGGAAACATGCCGTCTTTTATTGGCATATGCCTCTTGTCTGTCTGTCTGTCTCTCTCTCTCTTTAAATTTCTATTTTAATGCTTATGGCCTTTACAGAGGCTATTCCTGAGGTGTCAGGCCTTTTTGTCACTCCTTGCCCCAGGGTTTGCCAACCCCAGATGGCATCTGCTGAGCATGTGCCAGCCGGCCGTGACCAGGCCTGGCCCTGTCCTCAGGCACTGGCGGCTCCTGCCATTGCTGAGCATGCAAATGCCCAGAGAGAGTGCAGGCAGAGCTCTTTGCCTTTGAGGCTTGCTCTAGGGGTTGAGAAGAGAAAATCGTGGTGTCATGGCTCAGCTGGGCTTTGATGAATGTATAGGAGTCTGCAGAGGAGGGCAGCAGCTGGAGGAGCACTGCAGGTAGAGAAGGAAACGGGGCGCAGCGAAGGAAACAGGGAGCTGTGACTCCATGGGGCTCCAGGTTGGTGAGGAGTAAGTAATGCTCTTTGTCTTCTAATCCCACCATCAGGAATGGCATGGTTTTGTTGTTTGTTTTTTAAGTAAGAAATAAACCTTCTATGTCTAAGTGCTCTCACTTACACTTGATCTGTCTGGGTTTTTTTTTGTGCTTTGCTCAACAATGACTTAAAGAAAGACCAGAGAGAGAACCAAAACTGGACCTCCAGAAGCCCTCTGTCCCTGCCATCCCACCGAAGAAGCCTCGGCCGCCCAAGACCAGTTCTCTGAGCAGACCTGGCGCGCTGCCCCCGAGGAGGCCCGAGCGACCACTGGGCCCATTGACACACACAAGGTACTCCCTGCTCATGGGGCTGGGGGTGGCCATGGAGTGGGCCCAGGACCTCAGGAGCCAGGCAGAGGGGAGAAGGTGGCAAGGGAACCAAGTTCTTCCCACCAGCCAAGTTGTCTATCCACAGTAGAAGCGAGAGCAAGGATGGGGCCACAGGGCAGGAGCGTTGCCCATCAGCAGGTGAGGGTCAGGTTTCAGCACATAGGCCCTGCCACACAGCAGGCTTTCTGCTAGGCTAATCTGGAGCCCGGCCAGCTGCCGTGCACATGGGAAATGCGGTACACATGGGAAATGCACATGCAGCTGTCTTGCCTGGATGTCTTGTGGCCGTCGCTGTGCACACGTCACTGGGAGCTGTGTCCATGTGAGCTCAGCACTGCTCTGTTCTCTTCCCACATTCCAGACTCCTTGCTTTTTGCCCTTCAGTCTGCTGTGCAGCCCAGCAGCCCACGTGGCAGAGATCCCCGTGAGCTCCAAGACCCTCAGAGGCTGCCAGGGACCGGCTTTCTCAAGGCCCATGTTCTGAGGTGTGCCTGACAAAACGGAGATTTGTTTACTGGCTGGCTGGATGCATGTGTGGGGGTGCTTCCGAAAGCTTGTGGGGCAGTGAAATTGAAGAGACTGATTTGTTTGGGTACAGATAACTTAGAATGTGTATGTAGTTTTTCATAATATGCTTTTTCCATAAACTCTTTGATGACCCTTCATATGCATTAATTTCATCATGCGTGTGTGTGTGCCAAAGAAATATTTTTTAGTTCCACTTCCATGGATTTTTTGAATATTTCTGTAATGTGAAATCAGACTAGCGCCTTTGAGGTCAAGATCTTAGATCCTCCTGCAGGTACAAAGAATTACTGAGTTTCTTCCACAAATTCATTGCCCGATCGTTGTGCCATGTACTGTGCATGTTGGTGTAATGTGCTGGAGCAAGTCAGGGACCTAGGGGTCCGGCTGGCTCTTTGTATGGTGGGAGTCGCATGGAGCGTTCAGTGCCTTACCCATGGGTTCTAACCTCAGCCCTCCCACTAGAAGAAGGGAAGCTTTGGCAAGTCACCTTTCCTCTTTCCTCGCTTTTACTCCTTGTAAATTGAGGACTGCAGTAGAGTGTACCTGGCTGTCCCCCAAAATGAAGTCCCTTCTTGTAAATCTGTTTGTTGTTTTCTTTTATCTCTTTTATTATTGCCTATCAGAGTAATGTGGGAGATCATTTACTTCAAAAATTTTTTTCTGAATCATGTTACAATACATGCAGTGTAGTATTTGCCTTAACATTTTGAAGTGCCTTGCTCAGTGAGGTTAAGCACCTCCACATTGTGCAAATGCTTCCAGAACTCTGTCCATGTGTCCTTTCGATTGTTTTAGCATGATGTGCTCAGTGCTCATTCATATGGTGATGTGGCTCCCTGCCTTTCCATGACAACAGCAAAACAACCCCCACCTAATATAGCAGGCAGTGATGGGTGCACACATTCTGTGCGAGCCCATCTGAGCAGCATCTAGTTCACCTGTTTCATTCAACAGGTGGCTGCCAAGGGCCAGTCTGACAGCTTACTCCATCCAATGGCACTGGAGGAACCGAAGGGACTGTGAGCCGCAGTGGAGTAGGCCAAGCCCCAGCCTGTCATGCCCTTGCTTAGTGAGTGGTAGAGGCTCTTGATCCATGTGCGCGTCGGGGGACCCTTGACAGCCCTCTCCCCGCGAAGTCCACTGAGAAGCTAGCACAGCTGAGTGTGGATAGTGCGCATTATCCACAGAGACACACAGAGCAGCAAGCTCGCACTGTGCTTTGTGCAGGAGAAGGGAGAGCCAAAGCCATGCTGTTGGACACTCTTAGTCCTCCAGGGGCTGCAGACTTTGCATGAATTCAGCAACAGTTTCCAGAACATTCCCGCTGCTCTTTGCTTGTGACCCTCTAGGAAGTGAGTTCTGACATGGTGATAGGTGCCCCTTTCGTATCCTGGGAGAAATATTTCATCACAGTGGCCCTTCCTGCTCACAGACGGCTTATTTGCCTTCTGCCTCCGCTTGCCTCCTCTGCCTCTGATTCTGTCACTCTCCAAATGTCAGTTAGCAGGACAGGCCACCGAGGAAGATGCACAAGAGGGAAGTCCAGTGGGAAATATAACTTCCCAGCATTGCGGGGGTTATCTAAGCAGCCAGGAAATGATGGCCAGCCCATCGCCACTGGCCCCCGGCCAGCCAGCCCCTGAGGTACTGGTCTGCAGACAGCAAGGGGCAGAGCACGGGGTACCTATGTAGCCTGTTGGACAAAAAATGGTGCCTGCTCTCCCTCAGGGCGTCTCCAGCTTGGCCCCCATCCCAGTCACCTGCAGACCTCGTTCCAAAGTCGCCAGCAGGACTGGGGCTGGGCAAGGTAAGCCAAGCCTTGCAATGCTGGTGACCAGATAGATGGAAGCGCTGGTTCAGGTCCCCACTGCTGAGCCATCCAGCTCCCTGCTAATGTGCCTGAGGAAGCAGAGGATGACGGCCCAGTCCTTGTGCCCCTACACTCCTGTGGGGGACTTGGATGAAGTTCCTGGCTCCTGACTTCAACCTGGCTTACCCTAGCCATTGCAGCCATTTGATCTCTCGTGTGTGTGTGTGTGTGTGTGTGTGTGTGTGTGTGTGTGTGTGTGTGTGTGTCTCCCTTTCTCCCTACCACTTTGACTTTAAAAAAGAGCCGCTGGGCTCAGGACTGCACTTGCTGACTCAGTAGGTCTGGGTGGGCTGAAGAGTTGTCACCTCTGCAGTGACAGCGCCACTCTGAGGCTGCCTTGTGCCACCCTGGCACACAACCTACCATCTGCAGCTATTTTTTCCTTAGGTTGACCAAGACATCTTGGTTTCTTTAAGCCTTTGGGGTTGGTGCTTAGAATGAAAGAAGCTTCTAGGTACTTATCAGTCTGCATAAGTATCACTAACAGAAGGTGTTGAAAACAGATCCCAGCAGAGCAAGTGTGTGCAGATGTGCAGCAGTGGCCCAGGAGAGCAGCCACTTGTGGCGCTGCGCTCCCATTCTGAGTTTAGATTATACAGATGGTCTATGGTTCTTTTCTAGATTCCTAGTGGTGCTGGGTGTGAAATTTGTATATTCCCCTTGGTTTGCAGACATCAGCATGAAGGTGTGTCATTGGAGAGTTCATGAGAGAGGCCTTGAAATGGCGCAAGTGGGTGTCACTGGCTCATAGATGACAAGTGCAAACAGGAAATAAACTCCCTCCGGGAAATCATAAATTAGAAGCCAAGGAGAGAGTAGAGACAACTGCAAGGAAAAAAAAAACACACAGTTTCTAGTTGGAGAACAAACTAGAGTCACCAAAAAAAGGCAGGGGCAGGATATGATGTGGAAGTTAGAAGGGAATGGGAAGCAAGCTCTCCTGGGCGGTTCTCGCAGCTGGCTGTGCATTGGTTGCCAGGGCTTGGTGTGACCCCAGTGAGGGCTCCAGCTGAGTGTTTCTGCTTTGCACTGGCTCCCAGTGGGATCTGGGAAGAGTCAGGCTTTGATTGATATTTGGCCCTTGATGATCCCAGTTGAGTAGTTTGTGTGGACTTACTGGGGGCAGGAGGTGGATTTGGAATGAGGTAAAGAAAACGAGCAGGTGCCCAAGCATCTTTTGCCACAGCCAAAGCAAAAGGTGGATAACAGTGCTGGATATAGTTATGAGAAAGGTTCCACCTCTGACCTCTTTCTTGTGTTGTTCGCATGTGTGATTAATTTGCTTCAGTTTTCATCAAGTACCTACATGTGGCCAGGCCCACTCACTGTTTGCTTGGGCAGTGGAGCCAGGCACCCCCGGGGGGAAAGGCCACCTTGCCCCTTGAACACCCCTGTGACCTTGGCCAAAGTGCCCACCTCCGTAGTCTCACCTTCCTCCTCGATGGAATGCACAGTGAGGCTGCCTCTCTCCAGCGTGAGCTGGTAACCGGGTGCTGCTCTCAGTGTCCTGAGTAAACACCTGGCAGCTTTCAAGGCACCTGTCAGATCTGTGCCTGCCTGTTAGCCTGCTGGCAAAAGACAAGGCGGCAGGGGGGGCGACCTCAGTAGGAGAGGGGTCACAGGGGTCATGGAGAGAGGAGACATGTAGATGTCCTCAGATGGTACAGGGGGAGATTTAGGGGTACAAGCACGGCAGGCCCCTGAAGCAGCTACAGTCAGGACCAGGAAGACCACAGATAGATGGAGGGCAGCTGGTGAAGGGAGCCTGGTAGTCCCATAAAGCACAGCGCAGAGGAGCTTGTTTGGGGAGGGCATCTGTGTTCACCACCCCTCCTTCCTTACACATGTGCTGTGCTGTCTGTCTTCCCATCTGTGCAGGAATGTGTTTTGTTTGCTGTAGCAAGAAGCAGTGGTAGTGACCGGATGTAGCCCTAGCCAAGCCCACAGCGGGAACCCAGCAGCGCCAGCAGGGCTAGCACCTCCCCCAGGCAGAATGCTCGTTGGTTTGGATTCCGCTTTTCCCACAGGCTCTTTTTTTGGAATATTTCTTCCTCTGAGTGGCACTACACAAACTTCCCAGAGTCACCTGAAGTGGAGTTCTCCCTCCCCCCTCCCACTACTGAAGTGGTGGGCTCAGCTTCTTAAACCCCTCGCACCCCTTGGGATGCTAAGATCTGAACTGCTTGCCCTTTTGCCTTAGGGGGTTGCACATCTCATGCCATGGGTGGTCTCCCCAGGGTCCCCACGTGGACTTGCCAAGTCTGCACAAAGAGCCGACATCTGGAGGGCAAGCAAGTACCCACTGTCCTAGCACCTTCCCCGTGTCTTCACTGTCTATAAATAGTGACACTTGTTTGTGTCCGTCTGGACAAGGACGCCCAATGCAGGGGAAGAGCTGCCAGGAAAACCACTGTCAGCCCTCCTGGTTGTCCCCTGACCAGTGTCACACTGAAATAGAACCGCTCTTCAGTCCAAGGGTGCCTGTGATGCCTCCTCCCTCCCACCCTCTGAGGGGCAAGGGAGTCTGGGGCTGCTGGGGCTCACCCTTTGCCACCTCCTGGCG